CCCCTGGGTTTGACCCATCATCAGTTTAAATCTGTGATTTCTTCAGAAAACATAAAGAATCTCCCAGAAGCTGAGGAGAAGGCGGTTCAGTTTGTGAGCAGGGCTGCAGAAGCAAACTGGTTTATCTCCAGATTTCAAGAGCTCAGAGATTATTTCTCACTGAGATGATTGTTTAACCAACAACTAGGATCCTGTCCAGCTGAGTGATTAAGACCTTGGACTGGAGGTCTGATGGGTCTGATCGCTGCCATGTGGAGCACCAGGAAGTCAGGGATGAAGCTGGAGTACCCAGAGAGAACCCATGAAGCACCGGGAGAACATGCAGACCAGAAACAGAAAGGCAGTGGAACCAGAACTTTCACTGTGAGGATAAAGTTCTGCCAACGTCTCCATTTCAAATCCAGATGGTCTGATGCTGAAGACCTACAGGTCACTTTCAGATCCCGTTCCCTGTGATGCACACAGGGAACGGGATCTGAAAACCGAGTTCTGGATGTCTAGTCCTCTGAAGAGTCCAGACTTTCAGATCCAGAGAGCTCTAAAACCAGATGGACCGGTCCACAGCATTTTGGTTTCCCTTTAGTTTGATCACTGAGGACCTTCTGTGTTTGACAGGTGTTGGAGTTGCTCTGCCTTCCCACTCATTCCTGTCATTTCCTGCAGAATTCCCCTAAAACTCCTGAATCCGAGTTCTGGTCCAGAACTGTAGATGTTCTGGTTCTGTTCCTCCTGTACATTGGAAGAAACTAAATCAGTTTTCTAGGAACTCATAGCAGACCAGAACCTGGAGTTTCCGTATCTATGACCATGGACCGTCGTGGTTTTACAAAATATTACATTAATTTGTGATGAAGTGGCGACCGGTCCAGGAAGGACGGGATTCTCCTGATTCGATTCTGATTTTTGGAGTCACAGTTTCATGAAAATTGATGATTCTTCATAATTTCTGCTTCAGTCTGCAGTTGAGTGAAGGATCCTCCTGATCCAGTCTGGAAGACAAACGGAGACATTAAAGTCGTTTCCACTTCGCTCTGCCTCCGATCTCTGAAGAGAAAAACAATAAATCATGTAAACAGAAGTTATAGCTCGTTTTAACTGGTTAATGCTGGACGCCACAGGCCTGTTTGCCACTTATCTGTTGTCATTATTGTTTATGGACATGCTGTCGTGCCGGTTGCTCAGCAGAAGTCCACAAAGAGCCCAGCTGGCCGTCCTACACATCCTGGGTTTGATGATTATTAATCTGCTTATGTTTAGAGGTTAAAGGTCAAATCCAGGAGGTTTTCTGCTGCTGGTGTTGGTTGTTAATCAGAAAGAGGAAAAATCTGCAACCTGAGCTGAAAATGTGATGGGACATGCAGCTCGGGTTCAGCGCCTGACCAAAGGACGGGATGAACCCCAGCTGCAGTCAGGGAGCCGGGTTCTGGTTCAGGTCTCAACAGAACCTCCTGGAACGGCTCGGATCAGGTTGTGGAGCCCTGGGTGTCGTTGGAGCGCCGGAGCGATGAGATCATTTCGGGATCTGGATGAGAGTTCCCCTCCAGCGCTGCGCATCAACAGATTTATGAGCGCTCTGCAGATCTGGGAAGGTTGACAGCTCCCGGGGCCGGGGAGGGGTCACGGATCCGCTGCAGGCGGAACCGAGCCGTCCGTCAGGAACATCACCCGATCAGGAAACGGGGATTCTGGGAGACCACACACTCAGTAGCTTCAGTCATCATTCTGTCCCCCCCTCTGCTAACTGACTTTAACTAGGCCATTCCAGGATGATAATGTTATCCTGCCTTATCCAGTCTGGGGTAGATGTGGGTTTGGGTCATTGTTTGAGATAAAGTTGAGGAATCTGTGAACGTTGTGCATTGCGCCCCTGCAGTGGCTGCAGGCCCTGAGCATGATGGTCCCACCACCGTGCAGTGCTGTTGGTTTCTACCGGTTTCTCATCGTGTCCAAAGAGTTGAATCTCTGTCTGGTCTGACCAGCTTCTGTCCAGCAGACGTGTTGATTCAGAGCAGCAGCTTCTGTCTGGTTAGCGGTGGCGGCCAATGGGAAGACGTTTCCTCCTGAAGGTCCCGTCTCAGCTGAGAAGAGGAACTGGATCGTCTTCTTGACAAACTTTATTTTTCTTTCTGATTAGCATAAAAACCAACCAGGTTGTTTAGCCTCCGGCAGAGAAGCGGAAGCAGAGCCAGGATTAGTTCTGATGGCGTCGGGCAACACAGAGACGCCAGGAGGAGCAGAGAAGGTCCAGAGGTCGGGTTCTGGCTTCTGTTTGGTACCTGATGTTTTTTTTAAAGTTTACCGCTCTACTTCCCATAAGTTCATTTTTTATAAGTTCTAAAGCACTAATTTACATGGTTGTTTAATAAACTTTCACTTGAATAAAGTTCAACAAATGTGATGAAGTTTTGGTTATCGACCGTCTGCACTGTTGGTTCTGGAACCTCCATTGGGTTTGGGTCAGCCTGGACCGGTACTGATTCAGCCTCCCCTGGTCAGCATGGGGAGGAAGGAAGTGCTCTAAAACTTTGTCCTTCCACTCGACTTTCCATTGAAAAGCTGTCGGTGAACAAGCAGCTTCTTTAGAAATGACCTTTTATGGCTTTTCCTGCTTGGAAAGTGAGTCTGCTGGACAACTGGGTCAGCATCTTTATCATGATTGGGTCGGGTCCTTCTGTCATGATTTGTGGTGAAGGTGGTGAGGCAGACGCTGATGACCCCAGGTGGAGTGAATAAAAAATCTTTAATAGTAAAGTAATCCAACAAATACAGAAATCCAGGCAGCTCAGTTGAACCGTCAACGAAGCTCAGAGCTGGAAAACGACTGAACCAAAACGACAGACAGCAAACCCAATGAGAAAGAACAAGAAACACAGGTGGGTTTAACTACACAGGACAGGACAAAAACCAAAAATAAACACAGAAAAACTCAAATCCTTACAGAACCAGAACCAACCAGAACATTTACCTCTCATCAGTCTGATTCTCTAACTTTGTGAGGAAGTAACGTTTGAGTTTTTATGTGTTGTGAACCAGAACCATGTTGACTCTAACGGTTTTGGGTTCAACCTGTTGGTTCTGAAAGGCCCGTCTGAAGATGGGTTCTTCATTTTAACACATATTGAACAGATAAGAACAGATAAATAGATAAATCTAAACAGTTTGGGCTCTTAGCATCATGCCTACCTGTCACTGGACCATCAGAAACTCTTCTTTTAACTGACCGCTGGTTCTGTTGGACCTGGTGGGTTCTGGTTCTGCTGATTAAACCTTTATCTCTGGAACCTGGAGAATCTTGTCCTTCTTCCAAAAATCTGTTTATTCTCCATTTGTATTTTTTTTCTGCTAATGTAAAACCTAAACAGAAATAAACTCGTTGGTTCTTCCAGAATACAGCAGTAGCATGCATGTTGCTGACCGCTGCTGCCCCCTGGTGGCCATGGCGGATAATTATAAATCTGAATTCCCTCCATTTCCTCCTGCCTCTCCTTCTGGACCAGAACCAATCCCAGCCTCCTCTGCTTGTGACACTTCAGAATTTAGTTAATTTAAACTGAACTGGAACCAAATCCTGACCCAGTCCTGGGTCAGTTCTGAGTTCTGACCCAGGCGGTGTTTGTCCTGCCTGGGATCTTTTCTTAATTCTTATTACCGTATTTCTGTTAGAATTTATTGGAGTCTATATTTTTTGTATCTGTTTGGGCTTTGCAGAACCTGTGACCTGTGAGTGGATCAGGTTCTGCTAAAAGGACCCAGATCGGTTCTGAGTTTTCTCCATATTATTAAAACTGTCACAAAGTCGTGACAGTTTGTGAAAAAAATCACGGTTCTCCTCCCAGAGCTGCTGTTACCTGAAATAATAATAATAATAATAATAATAATAATAATAATAATAAACTAAAGGGACTCAAACATGAATGTCACCACTTGATGTGCTTGTATCAGATGTTAGTCCCTTGATAAGTTACAGTGCATCATACCTGGTCAAACAGACCCAATCGGAGCCGGGAGGAGGGTCTTAGTGCTGTCAATCATCACCATGTACACGCTGCTAAATGTGCTAACGTGAAGAAATAACTTAATGTTCCAGGAAAACTGTTGATCTGCCTTCATCAGTGGTTATGCTAACTAGCATTAGCATTTTTCGCAGACTGTGTTGTGGTGAAGTGTCGCAGAGACCAAGGAGGAGTGAGAGCATGAGGGTGATTGACAGCGCTTAGACCCGCCCTCTGACTCTGATTGGTTGTTTCAGCATGGAGGAAGCAGAGGAACTTTTTTCCACTGATTATCCGTCTCATATCTCACTGTCAACTGATATAAAATAAATAAATAAAATTTAAATAAAAGTTACTTATTGGAGTTTTGATATTATTATCTGGTAACTTTCTGGTTCTAGTAACCCTAAACTGTTAACAGAACCTCCATTTACTTTACATCTGCAGCCAAAACCAGAACTTTGGTTCTGGTTCTGAACACCAGCAGCTTGCAGGACCGGTTCTGACCGGACCGAACTCGGTGAGGTTTTGGAGGAGAAATGAAGACGAACAGGCGGAGCTGAGGTGGACTCTCGTTTATTCTCAGGTGAGTGAGCAGGGAGGAAGCTGATTGGCTGCTTCAGTGAGTCACTGAGGAAGAGGTGGATGAAGATGAGGAGGAGACCAGCTTCCCGTCGACGGTCTCCTCCACCATGGTCACCACACGCCGCGTCGAGGAGGAGCTGCGGACCAATCAGAGCACAGATCAGGTGGAGCCGGCCACCTGTGAGGTGAGGATCGTTCTCCAGGTGAACATGTCTCACCTGCCGCCTCCCTCTCCGTCCAGCAGGCGGCGGTATTCTGCGATCTCCATCTCCAGCCGGGTCTTGATGTCCAGCAGCATCTGGTACTCCTGTCCCTGCCGCTCCAGGTCGGCCCTCAGCTGCATCAGCTGCTCCTCCAGAGACGACACCTGCACACGGCACAGGTGAGGCTGTAGCTCCTCCCACTTTCACCGCATCACAGGTCACCAGAACCGAACCGGTCTCACCTGCATCTGGTAGCCGGACAGCCGCAGCGAGTATCGGCTCTGGGTCTCAGCCAGGGTCGCCTCCAGAGACGCTTTCTGCGCTCAAACCACAGAAGAAGAACTTCATTATTTCACTCCGTTCACTTAAAAACCAAATAGTTCAAAAGTTTTCACGCCGGGAATAAGTTTCTGTTTAGACCCTCAGAGACGCGACGCATGAAGTTAATCACATTAATTTAATCGATTAATCGTTAGCAGAGCTACAACAATAAACATTTTGCATCTAAGATAAAAACCTATAAGTCAGTTTTACTCAGAACTCTGAGTTTGAACCTGTAATAAAATCTATTAATCACCTTTTACATCCAGTTATTAATCAATAATCAGCAGATCAACTTTCATGTTGATGAAGGAATGTCTTAGTGAGTCTGAGGCAATTTGTTATGAATTAATCATTTATACATAAGAAAGACTTTGAGTAATCAACAATAATCGATTAGTAAAATAATCATTAGCTGCAGCTGATTATCACAGTGTGTGTGTGTCAGAGTGTGTGTGTCAGTGTGTGTGTGTCAGAGTGTGTGTGTCAGAGTGTGTGTCAGAGTGTGTGTGTCAGTGTGTGTGTGTCAGAGTGTGTGTGTCAGAGTGTGTGTGTGTGTCAGTGTGTGTGTCAGTGTGTGTGTCTGTGTGTGTGTGTCAGAGTGTGTGTGTCAGAGTGTGTGTGTCAGAGTGTGTGTCTGTGTGTGTGTGTCAGAGTGTGTGTGTCAGAGTGTGTGTGTCTGTGTGTGTGTCAGTGTGTGTGTCAGAGTGTGTGTGTCAGTGTGTGTGTCAGTGTGTGTGTCAGAGTGTGTGTGTCAGAGTGTGTGTGTCAGTGTGTGTGTGTCAGAGTGTGTGTGTCAGTGTGTGTGTCAGTGTGTGTGTCAGAGTGTGTGTGTCAGTGTGTGTGTCTGTGTGTGTGTCTGTGTGTGTGTGTCAGAGGGTGTGTGTCAGAGTGTGTATGTCAGTGTGTGTGTCAGAGTGTGTGTGTCAGTGTGTGTGTCTGTGTGTGTGTGTCAGAGTGTGTGTGTCAGTGTGTGTGTGTCAGAG